TTTAATCAATGAGATAACTCGATTCGTGTTGTCGATAGGTTTTCTAATAAAAAAGATCTTCGAACTATTAATCTTTTTTTTTCTCCTTCTATTTAATTTATCAAATTATTCAAATCTTGATCGAAACTAAAAATTTCGTGGAAAGAATTTATCCTAAAATTAATTTTTAAACCGTTGCTTGAGATGTGGGAAAGTAGACAAGAATGTGAAAAGAATTAAAAGAAAATGTAAAGAATTAATGTCGTGGAAAATGTAAGTATTTAACGTAATTTTGACGCTTAAGACATGGACCTCATATGTTTGACGACACATCAATATCATATTTATTGCTATTGCCCCCAATTTTCCCCGAATGTTGTGCCACTCGTGAAAAGTTGGATATTGCAAGCAAATTCCCTGATGAATCCAGTATGAACGTCAACTTCAATCTATGACAATGATGGTCAATCACTTATTTATTTTCTAACACTTTTTTGTTGGGTATATTAGAACCTTAATGGTATAGAATTTTATTTTAAATAATAATATATCATTCGATTCATTAATATTGTATAAAACTATTAAATTTAAGATAATTAATATAATAATTTCACAGTGTACAATACAGAGCATGAGGCAGGGATAATTTAGAAAATGAGATGAAATAATTGGAAAGAACCTTGCTTCGCTATTACTCAAAGAGGAATGCAATGCAAATTGAATAGAGTTATAATAATTATGTCTATATCTATCTATCTAATAAAACTTTATGATAACACAATTTAAATTATATATATTCAAGGGATAATAACGAGGAATCGTGGACCATGGATAAGTCTGCAACAATATTGTTGTAGCTGCTATTGCATAAATAGAATAGTAGTAATTGCGGGTTAGATTGATTTTTTAAACTTACAAGCATAAATAGTTGTAAAAGTTCAACCTAATCCTCAAATAAAATTATCATCGATCTAATTTAAAAATATGTTATTTCATTTTCAAGTAAAATACTGTATTTTTCTGAATAGTTATTATTTAATTAGACTTGTTATGGATAACAGTGAATAAACTATCATAAAAATATATAAATTTTTGTAAAAAAAAGCTTAAAATGGAAAAAAAAAAGAAAAAATTTATTAGAGTCGGTAATAAGTTACAAAAATAAAGTATACAAGAATACATTAAATTTTAGACACAATAATTCAAGAGGCTCTGCATCTATCGTATATCCTATTGTTTTTCTTCTTATTTTATTTCTCCATTAAACATGTCACGTCATAAAATTTTCAGATTAAATAAATAAATTCATGTTACAAACTTTAACCGAAACCATTGTATATAATGTGATCTTATTTTATATTTTATTCACAATAAAATACAACATTTTTTTCATAAAAATTATTCAACATATTATTTCCAAAAGCAAACACAAAATGGTGCAGGATTTGGCTAAAGGAGAGGGAAGCCGTGCATCGTATATGCTTATCCAAAAAGTATGTTTGCTTAAATTCTAGCTTCAGGGCGTAAATATCAAATCGAGGAAAATGTGGAAATACAATGGGTCTCTCGTTCTATCTTTTTTGAGTCGGTTTGTCCTAATATTATTTCAAATAATATTTTAAATGAGTACATTTTTTTTGTTATTTTTTCTGATCAAGACATCTTTCTTGATTTATTTAATACAGTTTGGGTATTTTTCCCCTCGTAGCTTCAATATTTTTTGTGTTGTTTCGGAAGAGTTTTTAACGATATCTATTTTTCAAAAAAAACTATAGAAATAAGGATGTTCATTTGGTTAATTTGATCACCGATCGAATCGAATAATCATTAACCAAATTAATCGATTTTTTTAATTGTTAACCGAACTGAACTTTTTTAAAAATATTTTAACCGAATCAAGCTAAGTTCGGTTAATTTCTTCTGTTAACCAAACTAACCGAAATTTATAAATAATATATATTATATATTTAATATTTTTAGTTAATTCGGTTAAAACCAAAGTTTAAACACACGTAAAACTAAATAATATATTAAATATTTAATAATTTCAATTAATTCGGTTAATTATTTGATTTCGAACCGAATTAACAGATAACCGTAGTTTAAAAGAACCGTTAATTGATCGAATCTAAAATTAATTGAAATTTCTTTTGATTTGATCGTGTAATTCCGTTTTAACCGAATTATTAACACCCCTATATGGAAATGTGAAAAAGGCTGGTGTACTTGTAAATGGAGATGGAAATAGTTGAGATATATATTTTAAATTATGTGAACTATGCATGCAAAGTTTTTTCAAATACCAATTTATTTCGTAGGTATACATTTAGTTGTTAAAATATTTTATATAATTTAAAAATATTCATGGCATGTTTACATATATATATATATATATATATATATAATTTGCATATAATAATATAAAAATACAAACTAATTCTTATGACAAATGTACATAAATAATGATCAGTAAGGAGTTTAGATTATTTTTCTCTAATAAAAATACTATCTCTTGTATAATAGCACACATTGTATTTTAATATCTGTGTTTTTAAAATAAGTAAAAAAATATTGTACCTGAAAATATTAAAATTCTCATTTTAAAAAGCTATTAATTCCGTGATATTGATACAAAACTAATTTAAAATATGTGATATATTAACACAGATTATTGTAAAAAAAAAACGGAAGCATTACATTTAACATGCGAATAGGGAATGCACTATTAGAAGAATTATATTAAAATGAATTAAAAATATTTTAAAAACACTTATAAAATATAAATTTTAAATAGAGATAATAGGGTATGGAAAATGTGAAAAAGGCTGGTGTACATGTGAACGGAGAGTGAGATGGTTTTTTTGGGGGGGGGGGGAATCTTTAAAATTATTTGAACCCTACATGCAAAGTATTTCATACACCAATTGATTTAACATGAATAAATTTAAAAGTAAACTATAGAAATAGTCATTGAACATTTAAGTCACTTGTATTTTTTCATCAAACTTTTAAAACTTCTAATATCGTTACTGAACTTTGAATTCATTTTCATTACAGTCGTAATTGTCAACTATCGTTAATAAATACTAATGTGACAAGTTAAAGTCGTTTTAATCACCAAACAACCCTAAATTTCTCGTACTATTTGGCAGTCGATGATCTCCTTTTTATCTACGTCATCATTATTCAACATTTTTTTATTACCATCACTTCTAATCACAACACTCATCATACCCAAGAGCTTAATCTTGTTCCTACGACTATTGAATCATTTATCAATATTGGTGCATGATTCTCATGCACCATCATTTAACAATAATAAATCACATCATCAATTAGTAAAAGAAAAAAAAAGTTATTAGAAGATCTGTAAATAAAAATATAATATAATTAGAATTATTGTTTTTATTCTGCCTTCCAGTTTCACGAAAAAATAAAACAGAAACCTACGGGGGGGGGGGTTTCTTTCATTTTATCCAATCTTAAGTTATCAATGTTATTTTTTTGCTACTGAACTTCATATTTTACTCGGTCGTGTCTCTGTATGTTCCTTGTTGAAGTGTTGGAACATAGATTCAAACCAGACATGAAGCGATGGATTTGTTGCTGAAACAATAAAAGAAAATGTGACGGCGGCTAAGAGAATGGAGGTCATTAACAGAAACCAGATCGAAAAGAAATGTCGTGCGTAGATTTGACAGAATAGTTTCGATGTGAGGTTGCATCTCGTTCTGCCTAAGCAGGGGTCCGCTGGCTTCGTTGAGGTTCATGAATCTCGTTTGATCCCCTACTTTTTCCTGCTTCATTTTGTTTCTATTTTGAGACTTGGACTTCACGTGATCTTCCTTTTTTATTTTCTACTGTTCCTTTTTGATTGTGTGGAATGTTTTGTATCTCATTCACTCTGACGTGGCATAGGCAGGCGTGATATTCATTATAGAAGTAAAATTTTATTTTAGAAATATAAATTTTTTGAAATTTATGTTAGAAAGTGTGAAATTAAAAGTTATTAAAGAGTGTAAAATTTAAGTTGGAGACATGACTCCTATCAGGATCTATTTAGTTCCGTCCATATAATCATATTAATAACTAAAGTTTATCTCTGCCTAAATCAAAATATATCGTGATAGGATCCTCACATGATAAGACTTAACAAGAATAAATTTGAAAACAATCTTATAGCCGAGTTAACTAAATGTTGCTAATGCTAGAATGCTTCAACGGAGTTTTTGGCTGCTAATATTTTCTCCATCAGCACCGATGGATTGTATTAAGATAAATGTGGACGGTACATTTGAAGCAACCACTGGTGGTGCTAGCTCAGGAGTGATTGCTCGTGGTAGTACGGGGTTGGTCCTCATTGGACATGCAAAGGTCTTCCATGGTATGTGTGATTCGGGTATGATTGAAGCACGTGCCCTTACTGAAGGCATCCACTTCACTGTGGATATAACTTTACTTTTACTTGTAGTTTTATCCTTTTAAAATGGTTAAATTTAAAGTTTATTATTTATGGTATGGTGTATATTATCATTATCTTAATTTAAAACTTTAAAATCTAAAAGGATTAAAATCAGAATTTGACCATTCACCATTTGCAACCCCATTCACAAGTAGAGTGTACGACAGCCGTCCGTTGCAGACCCATTGACCAACAAAATCAAGTTGATGGTCTGATCCCATTCACAAACTTACTTAGACTTCGACACATCTGATTTTCTAAGGTTAGTCCTCGCCCTATAAGAAATATGAAAATAATAAGGGTCGTAATACACAACCAGGTGATGAACACGTGAAGTTTGTATGGGGAGCTCTGCACCCAATTGCTGTGCCAGTCAACTCAAGCATTTGCTTTTCTTCTTCTTGTTTATTATTTATAACCACGTGGACATCAGGATCAAGTCTTAACATGCCTAATCACGAGACACGTTCGTTTACAACAAGGAATATGCATCAACAACCAAATATCAGCAAGCACAATCGGCATTCTTCACAACAGCTCTAACTACAGATCATAGGATAATGTCGTCACCTTAACCCCGGGCTAAATACACATTTAAGTGACTCGAATGATCATAGGATGATGACCCTTCAAGTCGAGAATTCTTTCTCGAATTCCTGCGGTTGTCGATGTTATCTTCTTGTCTCCCTGAATGTTCTGAAAGAGCAATCCGTTGCAGATACATCATCGCTATCATGCTGACAGTGAATAGAGCTGCATTGGTTAGTATCCCACCCATATGGTCAAAATTCAGGGATTTCTTTGCATAGTTGAAGTTGGAAAAAAGAATTTTGACTAGCGTGTTAGACCGCTTCCCTTCGTGTGATGCAAGATTCTCTCCGGATGGACTATTTGGTGTGCAGTAAAGGTTTTCGGGTGAGACATAACGGCTAGCATCATGTACATCTCCCACAAAAGATAGAGCTTCATCGATTACTTTGTACTTCTTTCCATGATGCTCAGCCAATCTCAATGCAAGAATTATCCGGCTTTGTTCTAATCTTGCAATGGCAGCATCTCTCTCAACCTGCTGCTGTATTTGTACTGTCTGTAAAAGGAACAACGACATGTATAACATAAGTGATCCATGTGCCATGCTACTTGGTAATATTTGGGGAAAAACTGTCACAAACATGAAATGTAAAAGCAAACAGGTAAGGTCAGAAACAGAGAAAAGTTGGTCAAAATGACCACATCACATAAAAAAAATGAATCCAAAGCCAGAATTTTTCAATTGGGATTATGAAGAAATGAATCAGGATTCACCCCATACAATAGTTGTATTGCCATCTTCTAATGCTACTTAAATCCTAATAAACCTCTTCATCATCTCACCATTCTCCAAAGAGAACAGAATCCACAAAACTAAAGCAACTTCGTTTCGGATAAAGGTTGGACATTCTCTCCAGACTATTCCACAAAACTAAAGCAACTTGATTTCAGATAAGGCCCATTTCAAAACAAGCTACATATTACACAGATCGCAGAAAAAACTAACACATCTCCTCATGACTTTCTCCTAAGATTCCAGAATCCAAAAACCAAAGCGGTATAAAAAATATCGTATGCTCCCTCAAGAGAACCATAATTTAGCCGTAAGTTACTCGAGCTCGGATGTAAGTGTCAGACACGGGTATATTCAAAACTTCCCCATATTCTGAGAGGGTCGTATACTCGTATCTCCACAGTCCACACGCATTTTCAGATATGCATCAGGGACAGGTGTTAAACGTGGCACATGGTTAAAACGTTAAGTAAAAATGAGAGTAAGAGCAACATACATATAACAAAACTCGAGTTTGAATCTATTGAGTAATTACCTAGCTGATTGCATTTTCACTCGGTATAAAATAGAAATTCAAGTAAAAGTTTGCAAGAATAGAAGCAAGCATTGGAAATTCAATTCCCATAAAACAATTACAGCTTCTTTCATTTCTTCGTTTAAAGCAATTTTCACAATCATCCGTATATCAATTTTAGAAATTAATTTAACGCAAATCAACCAAAATCATCAAGCAATATCAGTAAAGAAAAAAAACGAATTCGAAAAGAAAGCGAGTTAAAAACTGACATGGAAAACTTCGAGCTGGTCCTCGAGATTCTCGAGAGCGGTTCTGATAGCATTAAGACTCTTCGCCTCTTGAATTGAAGAGTCACCATCGTCGACTGTAAAGTCCTTGACGAAAACAAAGCCGGTCCTGTTATCAATGCCTCCGACGACATCGTTGAAGAGCTTCTTATTGTCGAATTTTCTGAGGGCTTTGATGGAATTAATGAAGTGGGCTCGCGAAATGGAGTGAATGGCATCGCTAAGCTTATCGTGTAAGTCACATATTTTCTCGATAACCGCCTCGATTTCCTCGATCTCCATATCCCATTTCATTTCAGAGGAAAGGGTAAAAGCCAGAGAGTTATTGATTGACCACACGATTTCTGTTGCGGTCCCTGCTCCTACAGGTAAATAATAATAGGATAAACTACTCAGAAAATCCTTCGATTATAGGGTACTTTTTAGGTGGGTCATTCGGCTATAAAAATAATAAAATAGTCACTTGACTAATTGTAACTAATCCAAAGTTATAAACAGGAACACGACCTAGTGACCTCAGCAGTAAACAGTGGCAAATACATAAAAAATTTATTATGAGATCCAATATAAATATGATAAAAACTTTATCTAACATAATTTGTATATATTTTTTAATTTAAAAATATAATAACAACTATATATATATATATATATATATATATATATATATATATATATATATATATATATATATTTAAACTGAATCTAAAAAAAGTCAATTAGATCAATATAATTTTGGATAAATTGCACGTTTAATATCTAAACTATTATTTTTTTTAAAATCATACATAATGTTTCGTCGTTAGAAATGCAATGGTGATGTTTACGTGTCATCATAAGATAATGTCATGTCATCATTGAAAAAAATATAAAAATTTGTCTTGTTAGTAGTTTTTTAATTTTTTTAAAGGTATTGTACCAAATTGAAACTTAAACTAAATATTAGATATGATTTAAAAAATAAAGTTTGGGTATTAAAACAAAACAAAAATAATAGTTTAAATAATAAACGTGTAGTTTAACCTATAATTTTAACATAATTTATACATACTTTTGTTTAAAATTATATTATATATTTTTATATTTTTTGAGTAATGAGGTGGGCCATGGACTAGGTAGGCCTACCCCTACATACGCCCCTAATGATTGTTGATATTTATTGGGGTCTTAGATTCAAGCATTAAGAATGTCAATGGTACGAACATTCAATATCAAAAGATTGAGAGTTATCTTTGAATGTATATTGCCTTGTATTTACCCCAAATTAACAAACAAAAATATAAATAGGATAATAAGTTGAGGATCAAATTGATTCAATATATAAATGTTGACGTTAATTTTTTTATATTTATGATCAAATTAAAATAAAATATATCAACTACGTGAGAAATTTTCTTTTAAAATCTAATAATCTAATTTAACTAAAACCCTTCGACAGTGTTATAAGATGTACTTCAATTATTACATTCAAAAAGTAGAGGGCCAAATTATTGGAATTAAGTATTTAGACTAAAGTTTTAATGAACAAAGAGGTCAGGGAGTAGAAGCATAGTTAGACCTAATAATAATAAGGTTTAACCTTTCCTCAAATCCTTGTATTCTTCATGGTTTTGGAGTTTAATTGCTCTGTTTTATTTCCAATAATTTAAACCCTCTAATTGCTTGGTTTGAAAATTAAAACCAGTTGACAATATTGTTGATGAACTTTTGTGTTAGGATTTATTAAAATTATATTGAATTGGGACCAATTTGATAAAATATATAAGTTTTGAGACTAAAATTCTTATTATGCAATGTCATATAATCATTTAAGTTAAATCAACAATAAAATTAAATAATGAATATTAAAATAAAAACAAAACCTAACGTTAAATATATTTCTAAAAGGTAATTATATAATTAAAACATAAATACAAGAAATTGTGGAGCATCAAATATGTAGTCCATATCGGACAAATTTGACGAGATCCGTACTTGCCTAATTTTTATTGTATGTATTTTCTCTTATTTTGCTAAAATATTTGTTATTTAGGTAATATCGACAAATCTAAACAGATTGAAACACACAAATAAGATATGAACGGCTATAAGGTTGCGAATTGATCTTGCATTAGGGTTTTATCAACTCGCCGTTGGGTATGTCCAACTAGGGGTGTAAATGAATAGAGCGTTTTGTGAACTGTTCGTATAATATTCATTTATATTCGTTTGTTAAGTTAAATAAACAAGTATGAACAAATTTTTTTATGTTCATTTAACAAAACGAACGAACATGAATAGATATGTGTTCGATTTATTTATATTCATGAACAAACTCGCTCATGAGTTCGTTTATCGACTCATTCATTTATATTCATGAACAAACTTGTTTATATAGTTCTCTTGTTCCTTTTATTTTTTATTTTACTTTTTAAATATTGGTCAAGGTATGGATTAAATTGAACACATGATAAAAATTAAAATTTAAACTATGAATTTTAAAAAATTTAAGCACTATTAGCATAATTTTACCATTTTTCTTCAGCAACCATAATACTAAAAGTTAAATATATAAATGAATGATAAATGAACATGTTTACGAATAATAAATAAATAAACATAAAAAAAATATGATATTAAAAGTTTATATGAATATAAATCGAACATGATTATTTTAAAAATAAACAAATAAAAATAATCTTATTCATTCAAATTCGGTTGACACTTCTATATCGAACTCAGCGTGAGTAATGCCTCGTTTCAAGAGGTAATAGAAAGCCCTAGAAGAATATACCCCGCGCCGAAACTTTCATCAGTTTCTCATTAAAGGATTAGGTCGAATTTCTCATTCTACTCCACCACTACCTCATCACACACCAGTGGTTGGACCCAAAAAAATTAGGGGGGGTGGGGGAGGTGAAACTTTCATCAGAAATTCTTTACGCATTATATTAGTGGGAATAAAACTATTACTTTTGAAAAATCTCCCAAACGTGGCCTTAGGTTTGAGGGTTTTGTGCCTTTCTCGCTTTTATTCTGGTAAGTATTTTTCTATATTTTCCGCCTTTTTATATAATAAGTTTCCTCTTCCCCAAGGAAATTGGAAATGCCATTCAATTTTTGTTTGCTAAAAAAGTCAATAAAATGCTCTGATATTAGGCTATTTGAGAATCAAACCGTCGTTTGATTCTGTTTTCACACTTTAATTGATTTTTTTATATAGAGGAGAATAAAGCAATAGAGATGGCGGAGACAGAGCAACGAACGCAGATTTCATGGATGAGATCAGAGCAATATTCACGAGTTGAAATCAACGGGCACGATTTGTCGATCACGGAAACGATGATAACGGAGATAGGTGGGAATGAACTTGGTGCTCCCGAGGATCGGCAAGATAATAATGCTCCAGATTCGAATCTAGGGATTGAGAGCGTGCTTTCTCTGCAGCCGGTGCTGCTGTTTTATCCTCCATCATAGTTAATCCTCTCGATGTTGTCAAGGTAATATAAATTAGTTTGTTTTATCTGCTGCTGTTTTGCTAATTGTTTGTTATTTGAATTTTCGTTGCATATTTAGTATCATAGTTTATCCGCTTGATGTTTCTTTCCCCTTAATTAGCAGACAAGGTTGCAAACTCAGGCTGCGGGAGTGCATTATTCGCATCCGCTGAGTAATCTTATCGGTCGAATGGCATATTTCGGACCAAACATGGTAGCAGTGCTATCTATTTCTTCACTTTCCATCTTTAATATCTCTGAGAAACGAGTTGTTATGTTGTGTATGTTTTAATCTTTTACAGCAATGTTAGACTTCTGTTTAATTTCTCCATCTGTGAATATTTTGGATTAGATGTTTGCTGATTTGAAATGTTCGCCCTCATGTACTCGTGCTGGAGTCCATGGAACTGTATCAATTTGTCCTCCTGATTGTTTTCAGTACAAAGGAACACTAGATGTCTTCAACAAGATTATACGGCAGGTTGGTGTTGCAATGCTGTCGTCTTGTTGCTTGTTGATGACATTGTTGTAATAACCTAATCTGCTTACTGCTTTATCTTAACAATACATGTTACTTGAGTATGGTTTTCTATACACGTTTGTCCGTCTAACAGGATGTCTTCTGCAGGAGGGGTTTGCTAGATTGTGGAGAGGGACTAATGCTGGTCTGGCTTTGGCTGTACCGACAGTGAGTTTCTATTCTCATTAGCAATCCTTTCTGAAGTTGGAGAATGTATTTTCGGATACACATCTTGTACAAAATATTAATAGAGTTTTCAACTGTACTCACATTTATGTGCAGGTGGGAATCTATTTACCTTGCTATGACATATTCCGTAACTGGATGGAAGGGCTTGCAGAACAATATATGCCTGCTGCAATACCATATGCCCCTTTGGTTGCTGGCTCTTTGGCAAGGTCATTAGCTTGTGCAACATGTTACCCTATTGAACTTGCTAGAACACGCATGCAGGTAATTTCTATAGTAATTTGTATACATTTAGTTGTTTTTGTCGTGGTAAAAGAGATTCTGTACATATTGCTGGTATTTAATGCTACTATGTTTTTCCATTTTGATCAAAATAGGTTTGTCCTCTCCACTTTGAAAATTGGATCTGTTAATTCATAGATACTTTTTCTTTTTGTCATTTCTTCTTATTCTTGTCAGTTTTCTGCTTCAATCACAGGCATATAAAGACACTCAAATTGGAAAGAAGCCACCTGGAGTTTTTAGTACCCTTTTAGGAGTCCTGTCTGATGTCAAGGGCAGAAACCCTCAGAGCAGTTGTAAGTTAATCACCACTCTACCTGTTTCTGGTAATTCTTACCTTTTTTAGCATTTTAAGTTAAGCCCATTGGGAATATTGTTTCTCCCCTTGTCTTTTTACTTTCTATGTCCTTAGCATCCAAAAGTACATTTTCACATCCGTTTTTTGCTGTCATGATGCAGATGACAAATCTTTTCCCCCACAATTCTAAGCATGATTTTCTGATGTTTCCGTTGGCAGTACAAGGGTATCGCATTTTCTGGACAGGCATGGGAGCACAACTTGCTCGTGATGTTCCTTTCTCTGGAATTTGTTGGTCGACCCTTGAGCCTGTGAGTTCCCATTTCTTAGAATTCCTATGGACCTATAGTTGTCTACCCCTTGTGACCATGGATATTGTTCAGGAAACCCATTACAACAACTGAATTTGTTGGTTATTGTACCTATTTTTACAGACCAGGAGAAAGCTTCTAGGTTTGGTGGGGGAAGAATCTGATGTATTTACTGTCCTTGGGGCTAATTTTTCGGCTGGGTTTTTTGCTGGAAGCCTTGCTGCTGCTGCTACTTGTCCTCTAGATGTTGCTA